TGATTCCCGGGCTCATCCAGCCACTCGACCATATCACCTAGCACCTGCAGTCAAACCGAGCGAAGGAAAGGGGAAAAAAAAAAGACAATCCGATCCGGGGCATGGTGAGGGTCGGTCGGAGGGCCCGAGCTGGACAAGAATAAAGGGAGGTTCCGAGCACACGAGGGGTATGGTTGACGAACCTCCATGGCAAGGCGTTCGCGCGTCGAAACATTACCGCGGTGGCGCGGGTTAAAAAACTGGGGATGATGGCTGTCCGGCACGACCTGGGGGTCGGGTATGCTCGGGGTGAGGTCGGAAGGCGCATGCCTGGTAACTTTCGCCTGGGGCTGGGCAGTCGGAGGAGGGACGCGAGCAAGACGTACGTCACGGCGACGGTCGCCGACATTAAAGACGCGCGCCGGCTGGCCGATAAAGTTGAAGTAGTTTTCGAGCTTGCGGGCAATAAACGTTTTGCAGCGAGCTGGTAGCCCCACCATGACCACGACAAGTCGGTCGCGCTCGTGGTGCTCGCGAGTGGGCGGCAGCATCGGATATCGTGACAACCGAGCCGATGAGGCGGTCGCAGCCGTGCTAGAAGAAGAACAAGAAGAAGCAGAGGAAGAAGAAGCATCTGTGGTCGACGACATGACGGTGGAAGCCCCGGCAGCACGAGGGCTAGCGTTGGGACGTGCAGAAGTGGCAGCGCAGCCCCTGGCTTCAGCCATGCTGCCAGATTCCAGACTGGAGGGCGACCATGATGGGCGATGAGTTGAAGGAGACATGACAAGAACAAGGACAAGGACAAGGACCACAAATGAATGAAAAAGAAGTAAAAGAGAGAGGGAGAGGATGATGAACGTTGATGGCCGAAGAAGGAAAATACAGCAAGCAAGCAAACAATACAAAAAGCAAGCGGAAGCACTCCTCTCGCTCTGTCTCTCTGTCTCTCTGTCTCTCTGTCTCTCTGTCTCTCTGTCTCTGCTTGTGTGTCTCTCTCTGTTTCTCTCTCTGGTTCGCTCTTTGTTCGCTCTCTGTCTTGGTTCTTCTGTCTCTGTGTCTCTCTGTTTCTCCGTTGCTGTGACTCTGTGTCTCTGCGTCTCTTTGTGTGACGATGGGGCTTGGGCGTGCGCGCACAAAGTGCATGAGACGATGTGGGGTCATTCGATGACAAGGGTAATGGTCTTGCATTCAGGGTGTGTGATGACGGACGCAGGCGACGGGGAGAGGCGGGCGAGAGCCAACAGCAACAGCAAGTGTGTGTGTGTGTGTGTGTGGTGATCAGACCCAACGTCAGGCTCGGCCATGTTCCACCCTGCCCTGGCCGGCCGGTGTGCAAGCTCTCTGACAAAATTGCCATGGTGTGTGTGTATGTGTAATCGCCCGTGCCAGGGTCGGAATGGCAGTGTGTCTGATGTCCCCCGCAAGCGATCGAGGCGACAAAGAGACGGCAGGTACAACGGTGACCATGGCACTCACGTACCCTCGAGTGTTTCGGTTTGATCGAGGGTTCTCGTCGTCGTCACTTCACTGTGAGCACGACACTGCCCGCGGCGGTATCACGGGGCCGAATCATCGACAGCAAGCCGGAATGTAGAGGGGGGAACAGGTACTACTTTATGATTAGCAGCTTGGTTAAAAGGGGGCGCTGTCACGGTTGCAAAGAGGCAAATGCAATGCCACCGCCTCTGCCGCTGCCGCCGCTGCCGTTTGAGAGCAAAATTGGAAAAAAGAGAGAGAGAGAGAGAGCGAGAGAGCGAGAGCGAGAGAGCGAGTGAGTGAGAGTGTGCAAGATACAAGGCAATACCCATGGAAAGGGCCAATGCAAGTGTGGTGGTGTGGTGGTTTGGTGACAAAGATAACAGCGTCGCGAATAACGTACAACGCCTTATGAGGAGCAAGGTAAGGGTTGGATGTGGGGGCAGGTGCGGATGCAGATTGATCGCAAAGTAGTCGTACAACTGGTAAGCTTTGAGAGACACGGTCACATAGCAAAAGCGCACGGAAACGCCAGTAGACGAACCGAGTGAGATCTCCAACAATGTAACCGATAAAAATAGACTCGACGCCACTCTGCGAAATTGTGAATTGCCGTGCGGGGTATTTATCCCAGCATAGTTATACCCTGTTTATGGCATTGTATTTCTTCCCTCCGACAACAACAAGAATATGAAGTCGATCGCTGTTGCTGTACTGACGCTCGCCGTGCTCGGCTCGGCCACCCTCGCGGCCAAGACGGTACGTCCACAGGTGTCACGTCGCTGTTGCATGCGGTGAAGTTCAGTGCAGGATCTGCCTCGACCTTCTCGCTGATGATCCTCTATTTTTTTTCTCCGGTTTCGCTCGGGCTCATGTGTGCTGAAACCTGCTCATCACAGCCCGAGGTGACCAACCGCGTCTACTTTGACATTGAGATTGGTGGCAAGGCTGCTGGCCGCATTGAGATTGACCTTTATGGCAAGGATGTCCCCAAGACTGTCGGTCAGTAGTCGCTTTCGAGTGCACGTGGCAGCAAAGCCCGAGCCCAACGACTTGCCGCCCTCATTGGCTCTGCGCGCCACTGACGGTCTTTTGTTTATGCAGAGAACTTCCGTGCTCTGGCCACTGGCGAGAAGGGCTTTGGCTACCGTGACTCCATCTTCCACCGGTGCGTCGTCCCCTTTTTTTTTTTTTTTTTACTCTCTACGTGTTATTCCTCAGCCCTGTCGCCTTTCTGTTTTTCCTTGTGTGCCTGCTCGAGCTCACGCCGCGGTTGGCCTCGTTTGCACCACAGCATCATCCCCAACTTTATGATTCAGGGTGGTGACTTTACCAACTTTGATGGCACCGGTGGCAAGTCCATCTACGGCAACAAGTTTGAAGATGAAAACTTCAGCCTGTGCGTTTGTTCAAGACCCTTGTTGTGGCTTTTGTGCATCCCTCCTTGGTCGCAATTCGGCCATGTTGTTTGCAACTCTTTTTTTCTAACCTACCGCATGCCTTGGGTTTGTTCCATCGCATCATTAGGAAGCACACCGGTCCCGGTATCCTGTCCATGGCCAACGCCGGTCGCAACACCAACGGCTCCCAGTTCTTCATCTGCACCGTCAAGACCCCCTGGTTGGACGGCCGCCACGTTGTCTTTGGCAAGGTCTCCGATGACAAGTCCATGTCTGTGGTCAAGGCCATCGAGGCCGTTGGCTCCCAGTCGGGCAAGCCCTCCAAGCGCGTTGTCGTCGTCGCCTCGGGCGAGCTCTAAACAGCAACTTTTTTTTTTTTTTTTTTTGGAATGCACGACACAATTCATTGCTGCAAATTACAGCCTGGATCAAGCACACACAGCTCGTGCTCACACGCAAGACGATCTCTCTTTTCATCGCTCAATTGCTGGGTTTTTGTTTCGAATGGCCTCAAGTCAGAGAAGAAGCTATTTTTTATGATTTGGTACTCCCAATGCGACACGCGTTGGAAGCAACAGTGGTCTGTGCACAACCACCAGGCGCATGGCGCCATGTAGAACGAGATGGGAGTCAGCACAGAAAAAAAAAAAAAGCACCACAGTCACCACCCCGATAGCCACGACCGTCGCAGCAGCCCAAGAGCACAAGTGTGCATCCATCTCCTTGAATCTGGAGAATGCTTGGCATAGCTGACAGCCGTAACATTATAGGGAGCAATGTCGGTGCAAAAAGAAGAAAATCAAAAACATCACAGCGATCAACGGACCAAAAAACATTCGACTCGTGTGAACCGCCGTTGATAGGGGTTTAGAGGCGTAGCATGGCCATTGCCATGGCATGCCTCATCATCAAAAGCTTCCAATGAAGACATTTAACTGGCAAACTTGCCCCAGATGTGGAGCAAGAAAACCGAGGCAATCAGGACCAGGCTCATGACCAGCACCGGCACGGGGCCGACCTTGAGGCCGGGCGTGTCCTCCGTGTACATGGACCAGTGATCAGCACCGTTGGTGGGAGCACGGGCACGGCCACCAGCAGCCTTGGGGCTATCCACCAGCAAGTTCAAATGAGCAAGAAATGACTGCACGGACTGTCGTGCCTGCAAAACCATGAACAAGGGTTGATGAGGGTACGTACCGAGCAGCAGCGGCACCGCCGGCACGACGCTGGGTCAGCTTGTTGCTGGGGCCGGCGCTCGAGCTCGAGCCACGGCCCACAGAGGTTGCAGAAGCAGGAGGGTTGGGCTGTCAAGTTGAAGGAACAAGTGAAACAACACGGGCCTGTGAGCGTTTGCACTGCCAACTTCAAAGTCTCAAAATAATCAGCGCGCACACCCATAGGCTCAAACAGAGGCGGCACAAGGCATAGTTTCACGAGCAAATGACCAGAAAACGGCAGTCTGATGATCAAAGAGAATCAGACAATGTGCGGCACAACAACCCTTTTCCTCGTCACCCTTCCAAACTCCCGCTTCGTTGGCACATTTGTCGCTTGATCGGCTGCATCCATGTCATCGGCCCTCGACCGCCCCCACAACATGATCTCTGATTCAAACGCCAATGGCATGATCCACAATCCTGTGCCAGTGGCAGCCACCCCCTTCCATGCCATCACCCACGACCCTCTTCAACCAAGTCCCGCTGCACTTGGCCGATTGACGGATCAATGGTCGCCAGCGATCAGGAACCGCCGAACCGCCGGGACCGCCAGGGCCAAGGGACGTACCATGATGTCTGTTGGTTCACTGGAGAGAGAGAAGAAGAGAAAAAAGACAGCTCAGAGATGATGAAGACTGCGGGCTCGATGTGGACGGAGATGCAGCTAAAATCAGTGCACGGGCAGAGATGGTGACGACACTTGGTTCGAAACGAACCACCCTTGATTCAGATCCGTCGACGTCGACACTGAGGATGATCCAACACGCTCAACAGGCGCGTTTTTGTTTTGCTTACAAGCCAGCCTGCGACATTCCATTGCCCGTCGTTTGTCTGACATAGCTGAGCACCTGAACGCAGTGACGATATCCAGTAAAGAGATGTCAGATGTCAGCTTGGTTTCAATTGTCAGATTTAATCGGCCGCGTGCTCTTTTTTTTTTTTTTTTTTTTCGGCGGCGGCGATACAGGAGAGGGGGAGACACCAGCGGAGCTTTGATCGTCTGGCGCGCTTCAATTCTGAGCCAGGCGAGCAGTGGGAGAGCAATTTATTTTGCTCGTAAGATAGTTTGTACGAGCGCTGTCATCTACAAAAAGCAAGTTGTGAGCAACCACACACAAGACACCATGAGTTTCGAGGACCTGAAGCTCAGCAGCTGGCTCATTCGTCAATGCCGCAACCTCAACTTTACACGGCCGACCGCAGTCCAACAGGCCTGCGTTCCTGCTATTCTCAACGGTACAAGCCACAGATTTGACCCATATTTCCTTTTAGCCTCTTTTTGTCCGCATACGGCTGCTTCCCTATGCGTTCTCAAGCCTGATATTCCCTTTTGGGCTAGATGAGGACGTGTACGCAGCCGCCAAGACCGGATCGGGCAAAACGGCTGCATTTGCCCTGCCCATCCTGGAGCAGCTGAGCCATGATCCATATGGTGTCTACGCCGTTGTCCTCACGCCCACTCGGTTCGCTTCCTCAGTCCCAGGCCTCATTTGACTTTTGCTGATCTGGGGCCCCTCCTAACGGATACCCTTTGCCGTGACATGGGCGCACACTCCTAGTGAACTCGCTTTTCAAATCAGTGATCAATTCCAGTCTCTCGGCAAGCCCATCGGCGTTCGCGTCGCAACCATCGTCGGTGGCATTGGTACGTTCCGCTCGAGTTGCCTCAATTTCTAGAGACCTTGATCCCACGTACACACATACACAAACTTCAAGCACGAATCTCACTTGAATCACATGTGGTGCTCTGGTGCTTACAAACAGACTCGATCAAGCAGGCCGTTGAACTGTCGCGCCGGCCCCACATCATTGTGGCTACCCCTGGTCGACTGGCGTCGCACATTGAGGACAGCACCCAGCTGGACCTTTCCATGTTTGTATTGCTCCGCATTTCTTGTGCTAGCCTGTGCCTTTTTTTTTTTGCGCATCCTCATTCGCAATGCGATACCCCATGTCCAGGGTTCACACCTTGGTGCTGGACGAAGCCGATCGACTCATGACCAACGAAACACTGCAAGGCCACTTGGGTTCGATGCCGCCCACCCTCGTCACTACCGCCCCAGCTGTGTCAGCTGTGCTCCGGCTTCGTTCCTAATGCTCAATGCCTGTTGGCAGACGTCATCCTTGATGCTTTGCCCGAGGAGCGGCAAAATCTTTTGTTCAGTGCCACGCTGCTGGAAGAGCCCTCGGGCAAGATTAGCCAGCAGCTGCACCGCGACCTCTTTCGCTACTCGGTGAGGTTTCACGTGCCCCCGCTCAACCTCTGCTCTCATGCCCCCTCTAATACCTCGACAATTATATGTGGCAGGAAATCAAGGAGGAAGCGACCGTCACCACCTTGCGCCAGCGCTACGTCTTCCTGCCGGCACACGTGCGCCTTTGCAACCGTCAAGTCGCACACTTTAATGCTTTAAAAATGCGATGACCTCACGCCGGCTTTCGTTTTTGTTTCGCGCTCTCCGTTTGTTTTATTCTTTGCGTTGACACGGCTCCTAGATGCGTTTTCCCTACCTGATTCACATTCTTCGTCAACTGCACGACGACAAGAACAACAGTATTGTTCTCTTTGTTCCTACGTGCCGCCTTTGCGAAGAGCTTGCCCTCACGCTGCGCGAGCTCGATTTGCGCTGCACAGCCCTCCATTCACAGGCAAGGGTCCGGGCGGAAACCATTCACTTTGAACAGAAACCAACTGGGTTGCTTACACCTGCTCTTTGATCACTCGGTTCTTTCGCCATGTAGATGTCACAAAAGGCGCGCCTAGATGCCTTGCACAAGTTCAAGTCAAGCTTTATTCATATTTTGCTTGCCACAGGTGCAGCATCATGACGTTCTGCCCAGTTCGTGCTACCTTGCCTTGACCTCACGCTCTTGCGGACCACGCCTACCTGCAGACGTTGCCAGTCGTGGCCTCGATATTCCAACCGTCACCTACGTCATCAACTACAACGTGCCTCGTGCACCCGAAGATTACGTCCACCGGTGAGGCGACACATGCAGCATCCTCCTTGGTGTGTATGACCCACGACCATCCCACCTTTTTTTTTTTTTCCCTGTCACCCAGAGTCGGCCGCACGGCTCGTGCCGGCCGTGGTGGCATGGCCATTACATTGATGGATGAACGGGACATTGAGCTATTGCAAGCCATCGAAGAACACATTAACGTCAAGCTCACAGCCTACGATGACATCAAGGTACATAGAGGCCGCCATCATACTATCATCATTCAGCATCCCGCGACCGTCTTGGAAGACTACTGGGGCCACCACCCTGACATATTCTTCCTGTTTGCCTGGGGCATGCTAGGATGAAGAGATTGTGCAGTCTATGAACAAGATCAACATTGCACGCCGTGCAGGTATGTGCTTTCGTCGATTAACTTTTACACACAGTCTCACATACAAAGTACCCTAAAACTATTAGAAAAGGGTTTGGGCCCTTCCGACAATCACCAACACCTCCACCTGCTGTGCACACCACCACTCACATACAAACGCATTGACATCACAGCTGAGCTCCAGCTGCTGGAATCAGGGTTTGATGAACGTCTACAAGCACGCAAGGCCAAGGTACAATCCCCACGTTCCTCTTTTCTCTGATTCCGTCAACAGCTGAAACTCATGCTGGCTAATTTGTGTGCACAGCTGGCCAGCCGCAAGGCTGCCGCCAATGACGACGAGAGCGCAGGCTCAGAAGACCAAACGATGCCCCCGGGCAAGCGTACCAAAGGGCAAAAGTCTTCCAAAAGTGCCTCCCAGCCGGCGACGCCCAAAACCGGCGCCAGCAAGCCCCAGCGCCGACGCAACAGCAAGACACCTCAAAAAGCATAAACACCTTCCTTCTCGCCATATCCGCGGGGCCGTGCCTCGGACTGACAGCTCACAGCTTGCAATCGAAAATCCACGCCCAAAACTTCACCGCCACGTGCCACTCAAGCAACACATTTTTTGAAGCCGACCCATCATTCACAATTGGGGAACTGGTCTTCAGGTCCTCCAGTACTGGTAGCCAAGCCCACAGGTGCTGCAGGCGGCGCTTAAGCAAAACTGGTGTCATCCAGACCATCAAGCGCTCGCTCCGAGTCGCTTTCCGGTTGCGAAGTGAGAGGCGATGCACGGCGACTGTCTGTGAGCAGCGGCTTCTCCTGGCCCGTGTCATCTGTTTGTAAATCGTGGGCAATGGCCAAGTATCGGCTGTTGTTGTATCGGTAGTCCCGTGCCAACCAAGCAAACAAGATTGTCACAGCGCCCATGCAGCCAGCAAAGAAGAAAAACTCATCGCGCTGCCGGAAGAAGGAAGACTCCGCCACAATGATGACAATGAGCGAGCCCAGGGTGGTGGTCAGCAGCCAACCGGCCTGCACCACAGCCTTCATGGAGGCTGGCGCTTCAGAGAAGGCCATTTCCAGACCAGTCACGGAGAACAAAATCTCACCCGCAGTGATGACAATGTACTGCGGCGCCTGCCACAAGATGCTCACACCATTGCCAGACTTGTCTTCTGTCACGGAGACTGTACCCTGGAGGCTCGAAGCTGTCTGCGGCGTGTACAGCAGACTGTAGTCGCCACCGCCCTGAGCCACAAAAGCCACGGTGATGGTGTCGACTGGTGAAACCGTACTGGCATTGGGATCGACGGTAGTGGATGCAAGGGTCGTTGTCGTGGTTGGAGCCGGAGTTGAGGAGAGGGTGGAATTGGGCACGGACGGCATGGCCATCATGATGAATTCGAGGCGCCCTGCGGTAAACACGCCGCCGTCATAGCTGCTGGCGCTACGAGCCGCTACCACGTTGTTTGTCTCATCGGGGCTGTAGTAAATGAGGTAGCAATCTGGGCAAGCGTTGATGATGCGAACACGCGCCTCATCTGGGTTCACCGTGTCAGCGTCGCGGGGAACATAATCATCAGTGGCAAAGGTATCGAGTCCACCGCCCACAGTGCGATAAACCACCAAACTCTGTTTGGCCTTGGCTTGCAGCATCCACGTCGTGCTGAGCGTCGACGGCGGGGAGCTGCGATGCAGCTCAAAGGTAACATTGCGGTTTGTGTCCGACACGTCAAAGTCATAATATGCCGAGGCATTGCCTGGGAGCAGGGAGGTGTTGAAGGTTAAATCAGCGTCACTGTAGGTCGCCCAAATCTGCTCAGACTGGGCATTGAGAACGCGAAGGTATGCCTGGTTGTGGGTGGGGATTCCGGCCCGCAGGTCACGGTCGATGGCCCCCTGTACCAGGCCTGAAATGACAAAGGAGAGGGCGCAGAGAATCATGCCATAGCCCATGCGTTGCAATGGCGTGAGGCGAATGCGAAGCAGCGCCAGAAGCGGATAGACACCGCGCTCAAACAGTGGAATCATGAGCATCACGAGGAGCGGCCCTAGGGCTTGCATCATGTCGGGGCGAAATTCGCCCAGGGCACCCATGCTAAATGTTTTCATTTGTTCGGCTTGCAGCGTCCAGCGAGAACCTTGCTGATCAAAGAGTGCCCAGAAAATTGGAGCCGGGGTGAAAAGGACAAAGACGCCCAAAACCACGCGGACTTCGCGGATGAAGGCTTGGCCAAAGCGCTTCTCCGCTGGTTCAAGCCAGTGTGAGTACTGAATGCCATTGGGGGTACCACGCAGCTTGGTGCGCAGACCCATCCAAATGGCCTTGCTGCAGTCCACGAGCACGTTTCGAGTGGGAAAGGTATAGCGGTAAAGGTGCCGCCCAGCCACAAATACAACAAGTGCGACAGCCATCAGGGCCGCAGGCACGCCAAACGCCTGCGCCACAGTCCGACCAGAATTGCAACGAAAGATTAGAGGCAAAAAAAAAAAACACGTCGGGAAGCCAATAACAGAGACTTTGGTCAGAAAAGCAAAGAAGGGAGAGCCAGCCAAGCAAGAGCACGAGCGCCGACCAGAGGGTAGCATTCGTCGTCGCCAAAGCAGTGAACATCAGCACGAAGCTTTGGGGTCAAAAGCGTTGATATAAGGCTGCCAGCATTGATTGAGAAGTAAAAAGTTGCAAAAAAACCCTATTGGCGGCCAAGTACCAGCAGACGGCCAAGCTGAGACCCAGACTGTTGCGAGCAGACCAAGGACCAGCGGGGCAGGGCGGGTTCTCGCACGGACCTGAATCAGGCCGCTCTGGCTGGCTGTAAACTGATCACCACCAAAGGCGCTGACACAGGGCTTGATGCCACCCGTACCCAAAGCAATGAAAGCCAGTGCTGACGTCGGTATAGTCAACGTTGTCCACATACACACACACACACACACATGCGCATCAGGATATGGCAAGCACACAAGCAGAGGTGAGTGAAAAAGGCAGCAAAAGGCCAAGGACATGGGGTGTAGGAATGGATGAAATCGGGAAGAGGCTCGCGAAAGAGACGGACACAAAAAGGCGCCCCAGGGGCTCGGTGGCGATCCGGTCAGGTGGTTGACAGAGGTGAAGGAGAGCAAGCTTGAGCCGATGAGGTAGACGATGGACAGCCAGAAGATGGTTTTGTATTTGCCCCAGGAGGAGTCGGCCAGGATGCCTCCGAGAATGGAAGTAAGGTAGCTGACCATGACAAAGACATGGTACCACACAGTGGCGCGATCGTTGGTGTAGCCAAAGTAGTTGACCAGGTACAGAACCAGAATCGTGCGAAGGCCATAGTACGTTGCTCGCTCAGAAAACTATAGGGGCGGGGGGGCGGAGTGCACATTGCGTGAAGGATCCTTGCAAAGCAACATTGGGGGCAAGCAGAGAAATCAAAGGAGCCCCATCCGTCATACCTCTTGGCCGATGATGTACAGGCAGGCACGCGGGTATCGGCCAAAGACAAGGTGGCTGGCAGCGACCGGATCTCGGGGCTCGTGAACCTTGACCTGCGATTCCGGGTCCGCGCGTGGGTCCGACGTTGCCGCCGCAACCTCAGCTCGAGCACCATCCCGAGGCGCCACGGCCGTCGACTGCAACTCGAACGAATCCTGCTCCACCATCTCCATCCGATCTCCCCCTAATCGCCTCCCCACTGCACCCTTGCCCTCGCCCTCGCCGCTGCCATCCTCTCCGCTCATGTCTGTGTGTGTGTGTGTGTGTGTGTGTGTGTGTGTGTGTGTGTGTGTGTGTGTGTGTGTGTGTGTGTGTGTGTGTGTGTGTGTGTGTGTGTGTGTGTTGCTCCAAAAAAAAAAAACCAAGAGTAAAAAGCGTTTTTCACTGTGTTCGTCTACTACTGCTTGTGTGAGAATTGTCAGCTTTTCCTTTGAATAATCAGAGCAACAGCTTTGAGCCGTTTTTTTTGTGTTGCTGGGCACAATAGTGATTTGGCGTGTGGAGTGAGGGCATGCGGTGGTTTGGGCATGGTCGGGAATGTTATGCGGCGCTCAGCACACCGCGGCAATGGACAACTTAAACGACAAGTGTCCCTCCCCATACATACACATCAAGAGACAAAAAGAGAAAGAACCAACAGCAGACAGAAAAAAAAAAAAGAAAAAAAAAAAAAAACGGAATGTAACGGTACACACACACACCACACACACACACACACACTGAAAAGGAGTTGTCGACAGTTTACATGTACAGGTGCACTTTATTTTTTTTTCTTCTTCTTCTTGGTACATGACGTTGCTGCATTTGATTTGCATTTGGCAGCCTTGATGGCAGTGGCAGTGGCAGCGGCAGCGGGAGTAGTAGTGGTAGTGGCTAGGCACACACGTGCTAAGGTGTCAGGACGAATGGTACGCATGTTTTGGAAAGGCTGCATTTGATAACCGGATTGGACAGCAAGCATGTGGCGGTACGAGGGTCAGACGGGGCCGTCGTAGGACAAGCACATCTGGCAGGCTTTGTGGGCCGTGCCAACTCCACCATGGGCTCGCAGCAAGACCTCATGGTCAAAACCAATGAGGCCGCCCAGCAGTGGTGCCAGGAGGTGCTGCGTGGCATGGGCATGCGGGAGAGCGCGTCTCCTGGTCCTCACAACAGAGTTGCGCCCCTTCGCTCCTTTTCACGGGGTAAGCCCGCTTCACCGGTTCAGCTCACCCCTTGCTTTGCAAACCCAACAGACGCTCACTCATTGCAACGATTTTATTCTGCTTGATCCGCAGGGCGTTGGCGCGTGGACCCAGGACCCCAGCACAGTCCGAGCCCCTCAGAGCCACTCGGAAGCAAAGCAGGCGCACCGGCGCCCACCACCCCTGCGCCCATGCTGCATGGCAGCATCGATCCCATCTCCTCCACCCCTCGGGAGCAAGCCACCTTACCCGTTGCAAGCTCCTTTACAACCCCTGTTCTGTTTCGCCATGCCCCTTTGGACCCGACGATGCGGCGGAATCGCCAAGCTCAAGAATCTCTCGCCGCAACGCCGGCCAACATGACTCCTGGATCGACTCCTCGGGCCACACAAGCACCGTCTCCAGAAGATCCCACACCTCTACATCACAGGCGTTTGTCGAGCATCATTCTCGATGGCTACGGGAGCGAGCACTCCCCTGACCCCATGCACCGACCTTTTGAGCTGCCTGCCAACTTTGATGAGTTTAGCCCCTCACTACTAACCCCAACGGGGCCCAACCGGCGCAGCCCTGGTGCACGCCGGCCTCCACGTCTGGAGCTGGGGCCTCCCATGCCCCTGGAAGAACATGGTCAACCCCAAGCCAAGCAAAGCAAGCTTGATGTTTCCCCCGGCCCTCGTTCACCCCTGCAGAACCTGCAGCCTAAATCGGCGCCATCATCATCTCCAAACCAAGAGCAGCCAGGGGATGCCGATGGGGCTAGCCAAGAGACCGAGACCGGCTCTCCCATTAGCTCAGGGCCTCTTCTGCTGGAATTCCGCAATGCTCGCACCCATCAAGTGGTGTCGACGCCAAAGGATGCAGCTCGGGGACGACAATGCCGCCAACCTGCAGCATCTTGATGAAAACGGCCCACAGCATGTGACTGTCGAGTCACCACATGTCGATTCAGATTCAGTAGTCCCGCTGACAGCCCTCGACGGCGGCCTTTGCTTGGGTTTCAGAGCGCCCGAACCAATCGAGTGGTGTCGACCGAGGCCGATGCCGCCAAGGGCCGAGCATTGTTGGCGGCTGCGCAGCATGATGCCCCGGACGCCGAGACTGCAGCAGTGCCGGACGAGCCCTCGACGCCGGCCTTTGTGGGGTTTCAGAGCGCCCGAACCAATCGAGTGGTGTCGACCGAGGCCGATGCCGCCAAGGGCCGAGCATTGTTGGCGGCTGCGCAGCATGATGCCCCGGACGCCGAGACTGCAGCAGTGCCGGACGAGCCCTCGACACCGGCCTTTGTGGGGTTTCAGAGCGCCCGAACCAACCGAGTGGTGTCGACCGAGGCCGATGCCGCCAAGGGCCGAGCATTGTTGGCGGCTGCGCAGCATGATGCCCCGGACGCCCCGGACGCCGAGACTGCAGCAGTGCCGGACGAGCCCTTGGGGATAATGCCGCGCTTACCTGCTTCATTGCATCAACCTGTTGTCTCTTCCGCAGTTGCTTCTGCCGGCTCTGATCAATATGCTCAACATGCCCACCTGCTTCCGGCCTTACACGACAATGACAACGATAAAAGCAATACAAAGCCGCACATCGATCTTGCTCGTGCTAATCATGCTGTTGCAACTACTCGGCGGACAACCGCTGGCCCACCAGAAAACGATCCTGCGTGTCTCGGGTTCCAGAATCTACGCAGCAACACCATCATTTCTTCGGCCCGACACGCCACCCATGGGCGAGCCCTGCTGGCAGATGCAACAACGAAGCAAAGCAACTTACGCAACGATGGGCACCTTAACAAGCAAGCACATGATCACGAGGACATTGAGCCGCCGCGCAAGGTGCCCGTGTGGGCTCCGACTGAGACCCCCATTTCGTTTGTGCCCCCTCGCCCAAGCGACGGAAATACCACAGCCAAGCAGCCTCGCCTGCAATTGCTGGACCAACATCCTCCTGCAAGCACTCGACCGAGCCCCGGTGTCAACGCTGCTAGTGCTCCCGAAACACCGAGCTTCTCCGTGCCCCGCACCCTGGCAAACCCCGCGCCCGGGTCTACCACGACGTCACCTCTCTCTTCGCCTTCGTCCTTGCGACGGCGCCCGCCCACCGTCACATCCTTTGCAACCCCAAGAGCTAACGTGGCGGCGTCCATTAAAACTGCTCACGGTTCGTTTCGTCCCTCAATTGCGGGCTGATCGCGGTTCCCTGTCCTGTTCGCAGTTCCCTTTTTTTTTTTCCACTTTCCATCTCATTGCTTCCGCGCACGCTTGCTGGTGTTCCTCTTCAATGTTTTTCCAATGTAGGGGAAACGCCAAGCCATGGAATTGGGGCTGCCCTTACCCCCAAAAACCATCACCCACGACCAGCAGCCTTTGTCACGCCGGCTCGAACGGGGCGCAAGGCCCATACTCCAGGTCTCATGGCGTCAAGTAAACGGCGTGCTGCCAACGCGCCTAGTACACCGGGGTTCGGAACTCGCGCCAAGCCCAAGGGTTATCGCCCATACAAACCACCCCGCATTAGCGTCGGAGGTGCCGCATCTGAAGCAGCAAACAGCCCAAGCCATCCGCAAACCCCCCTTACCCCGCAACCATCTTCCTCTCGAGGTCTGGATGTAACCCCTGCCAAGTCTTCAAACTCTACCACTACCAGTGTAACCCCACTCACCCGGAAGGAAGATGCCCAATTTTTTGCGCTGTGCGCCTCCTGGTGGCAGCAAGCGCCTTTACGCCTGGTGCCTGCTACCAGCTCACCACGATGGGACAAAGAAACGCTCGGTGATACGCTTGTTGACCTTGGCTTTTCTACTTCGTCCCTACGATACAGCCCGACTCCATCTGCAAGTGACGGACACATTGATGGCAATGGGGATGCTACTACACCCGTGCCGCTGCGCGAAACGTTACGTCGAGCCCTCGTCGAGTTTGCGCGGGATCCTTCAAGCACACTGAAACCTGTTTCCTCATCCGATCCAGCATCAACAGAGGCAACACTGCGGCTCACAGCGCGTCAAATCGTCGAGCTTTGGCGTCTCATTCCAGCCCTGGCACGTTGTACGCTAACAAAGGCCGACTGGTTGCTCAATGCGGCTTGCTTGGGGCTGTGGTCACATGGGTCTATTTTGGCGTGTTGGGAACCACTTACTGCATTCGTGGGCGCCTTGGCTCACCGCGAACACTATGCCAACGTGCGGCCAGCCTTGCGCCAGATTTGCGAAGAAGACCGCCATGTGGCACTCCCGTTCACATGCACAGTCCTGGATGTGGCTCCGAACAACGGCTACGTATGGATCTGCGATGGAACCTACCCTCTGCGTGCACGACCTGACCCGGCGCTGCAGGCCTCCTGGAGCAAGTCGTATGGTGGTGGCTGGCAAGGTTTGATCGGGGGTGGGTTGGCCGTTATCAATGCTGCACTCCAGTCTCCTGGTCCCCACCCTCCGCTGGACGACGCCGAGAGCACACAGCTGACCCTCTACTGTAACTCGACACGAGGCTTGGAGGACGCCTCGGTGGAGGACTTTGTCAGTGTTGCACCTGATTGGCAGCCGCCCGCGTTTGACTGGTCCGTCACGCCTATCAGCGACATTGTGCCCGATGGTGGTGCTGTTCCTCTGGTTGAAGCCTTTGTTGAACGCGTGCTTCCCACCGTGTATCGCGTCACGGATGACTTGCACTCGGACTTTCTTGGTCTTGGTGCTTTGCATCGCATGCGCGACTTCTTTGAACGCCGTTGCCAGGAGGCCCAAGACGAGCTGGAGAAGCAAGCTTTGAAGCAAGCCGAAGCTGTCATTCAACGCTGTAGTCTGCCTGGTACAGGCAGCACCCACAACGACGAGCAGCTTGCGGCCTTTCTCGTTGCCGATCGCGCTGCTGATCTTGCATCTGTGCCGACAGCGCGGTTAGAAGCAGCACGAGCAGAACACATGGCCCAGCTTCAGGCACGTGTTGATCAGGCGCGACACCTGGCCGCGCAGCGCATGCGTGCTGAACAAGGTTTTGACATGCTCACTGACCCCGTGGCGCTGACACAAGTTCAGCTGCGCTGCCGGACCAATGGCAGTCGCGCATTGCTCAGTGTGTGGCGGGATGCGCTGGGCCTTGATGACCAAGCCAACGGGGCACTTCTTTGCCTTCGTAATGTGGTGCCCAAGGTGCGCAACGACCAGCTCACTTTGGCCAAAGCTAAAACGACGGCGATTCAACTGCGGGCCGATGAGCGCGACCCAGCCCTCGGTCGAGCTCTTACGCCGGCACGATTCTTATTTCGAACGGCCGCCTTTGAGTACGTAGATATCCTGGGCAAGGTGTTATCCATTGACACCCCCTTGGGCTCTGGCGTCTCTGCACTTCAGCGTTTGGAGTTGGCCGATGCCGAAGGGCATCAGTTTGTGCTACAATGCCACGGCTCTTTGGCGTTTCATGGTGTGGATATCGAGGCTGGACCTAGGGCCTGGTGCTGGGAGCACGTTCGTGTACTGCCAGACGTCTCAGATCGCGGGCTGCCTGTGTGTGAGTTTACGGGCTGTAGTCGGGTCAGCTCGCTACAGCAGCGCCCTTGCCGAGCTTTTCTGGGGGCCCTGGAAGCATTCCAAGGGGCGCTCGATAATTTTTCTTGGCAAATTCAACCACTACCGCCAAAGGCTGCGCCACCCAATTCGTCGCCGCACGGCTCTCCGCTGCGCGCCGGGGTGCGCGCTCGACACCCAACTGGCTCTGCTGCCCGTGAGGCTGGCACGGCATCGCTGTCTGCCGAGAACCGTTCAGCGGGAGGGACAGAGCTGCGAATGGTGTTGTTACCCTTTCCACAAGCCAATTTCATCTTGCAGCTGCAGGGCACCTGCATGCGCTTTGAGAAGGGCACGGAGGTGGGTCAATCGGTGGAAGTCTTGGCTTTGGACTGGGGGCCAGTCCCGACCGAGCCACCGCCGGCCACGGCCCCCGTGACGCACGCTGTGGCCTCCTCTTCGCCTCAGGCCACCGATGCACCTTTAGAGAGTGAAGAGGGTGCTTGCCCCATCTGTCAATCGGTATTTCCACTCGGCGAGCTGGCAGAGCATTGCGACGCTTGCGTGGACAATGCTGGGCGGACGTTACGCTCGGGACGACGTCGGCGGACCCCAAGCTTGTCGCGGGAAGGCTCTTCTTCCTCTTCATCTTCATCGACCCGTGGCTCTCGTTCCCGTCGCGTTACGCCCAATGCTACGCGGGAAACAGTACCGACTTCCTTCGAAGGACCAGCTGCATCTGTGGATGTGGCAGCGGAGCCAGTGACTGGACATGCAGCACCTGCCGCAAAAAGCGCTGAGAGCGCGCAGCCCGCCATCATCACGATTCGAGCCTCGTGTGCCATTCATGCCCTGCATCTTCCCGATCCCGATGTTGCCTCGGATGGCTTTGCTGGACGTGCCTGCCAATTGGACGGTTCGGGTCGCATGTCAGCTCAATTGAGCTGGACGGAGCTGGCACTGATTGCCCAATATCGGTGTGCTCATGATCACCGCGTGCGGCGGCATCGTATTGAATTGGCCGAGTTGCTTGGCGTGCACCCAGAAACGGCGCTGCTCAATCTACTTCGTCGTTTGTTAGACTGCCACGATACTGATAGCGTGCGTCTGCGTCTGCGTGTGCCATCTGGTCGTTGGGCACTGAATCACGTTTTTCCCGAGCGCTCCTGCATACTGGTCTCACCGCATTTTCTGCTGCCAAAATTTGCTTGGGGATAGGAACATTGCCGCTTTTGTCGAGAAGTTGCAAATCGCTCACCCGATCACGCCTTGGGCATGGATAGCGACCAATGGCAGCGTGTCAGTGGGGCGGCAGCTCGTTTGTTGCTTGGAAAGCCTTACTTTAAGGTACATTGTTTTTGTTTTTGTTGCTCTTTGACAAAGACTGCTGTCGTCGCTTTGGCATGGCAACTGTTGACAGTCGAGGTCCTCACAATCATGGTGCGGCGTCGACGTGTAGGCGAAACTGGATCCTGTGCAGGAAGGTCGTCTTGTTCCAATCTGACCGGATCTTGGTATTCGGTTCAATTTGCTTGTTTGATGGTGTCTTTGAGTGTGTGTCTGTGGAAAGATTTGGTGTTTCTTGGATTGTCTGATCACACCCCGATTTTTGTTTATCGATTTGAAGCACGGTTTGGTTGTTTGCCGAAACATGAGTTGTTTTCATCTGATGCGTTGCCATGTGTCATTGTGCCACGACGTCACAATGGAATATTCCTGAGTTCGCTGAATTTGAAGCGCGAATTTCGACTCTCAAGGGCGGCATGGCCACCCGGCTGCCGATGCTCGGTGTGAAAGACTCAGTGTGAAAGGCAGTGCTCAAAGTCACACATCTGGTCCAACGCAAGACCAGAAACCCAGCGAGAAGAATGAAGCAGGGTTGTTGGAAAGAAGAAAAAAAAAATATGGAAGTCACAAACAAGAAGGGTAGGGTAGAAACAAGAGGAAAAGATGGTGCAAGCATCACAAGAAAAAGAAACGCAAAAAGGCTCAAACACAGCATGTTGTCGAAGACAGTCAAGCCCAGAAGGAGATGCATGGTCAGTTAAATGACTTATTTCTTCTTGGCAGTCACGTTGAACTAGAGCACAAAAAAAAAAAAGGAAGATCAGATGGATGAGATGTCTTGTTGACAAGAAAAGGCACATGGTGGGCTGTTCTACACCACCCAAGACGGAAGCAATTTGGCGATACGCAACCCACCTTGAAGAAGATGATATCGCCATCCTGCACGACGTAGGTCTTGCCCTGCTGGCGGTACTTGCCAGCTGCCTTGACGCCGGCTTCCGAACCTGCCTCCTTAAAGTCCTCAAAGTTCATGACCTCCGCCATGATAAAGCCGCGTTCAAAGTCGGTATGAATGCGGCCGGCAGCCTGGGGGGCACGAGAACCAGTCTGGATGGTCCAAGCCTTGACCTCATCCTAGATGATGATGCACGGGCAAGAGGCAAAAAAGCGCAAAGGGGCAAAGGTAAGCGTTGGATGCTTGGGTCTGCAGTAAGGAGAGGCAGTAAGGAGAGGTGGCGCCAAAAGTGGGAGTGATCGTCTTGGAGACTTTTAAGCGAGCGTATAGGTACAAACCTTGCCAGCGGTGAAGAAATAGCACAGGTTGAGGGCCTGGTAACCGGCCTTGATAATCTTGCTGAGCATGCTGGCAGCACCGACTTCCTCCTGGTGCTTGGCACGGGCCTCATCCGTGTCCATGAGGGCAAGGGCGAGCTCAAAGTCGGCAGAGTAGGGGATGATGGTGGGGTGCTTCTCGTGCTCGTCGACCCAGGCCTTGATCTTGCTGAGCCACTTGTTTTTCTTGCGAACAAAGTCCTTCTGGGAGAGATTGACCAGGTAAATGACGGGCTTGGCGGTCAGGAAGAGGTGCTCGTTGAGCACATCAATCTCGTTGCGATCCCACTCGCCGTTGCGGATGTCGTTGCCAGCGGCCAAAAACTCCTTAAACTTGAGCAGCATGTCGTACTCCTCCTTCTTCTTCTTGTCCCCACCGCGGAGGGCAACGCGCTCCAGGGGCTGCATCACCTTTTCGAGGGCAGCAATGTCCTTGAGACGCAGCTCGTTACTGATAATGTCCAAATCACGGACGGGGTCGACATCACCCTCGACATGGACAATGTCCTCGTCCGAGAAGGCACGGCAGACGTGGAAGATGGCATCGCAAGCCGCAATGTTTGACAGGAAAGCATTACCCAGACCCTAGGACATGTCGTCAATGTCAATCCACAATGTGAGGGGGAATCCGCACACGAGTCGACTAGGCCAGCCCGAGAGACATGGGCAAAGAAGCTTACCAGACCCTCGTGAGCGCCCTTGACAAGACCGGCAATATCGACGACGTTCAGAAAAGCAGGGACCTTGGAAGGGGGCTTGTGGAAGTCGCACAGCCAGTCAAAACGCTCATCGGGGACGGGCACGCGGGCCTCGTTGGGGTCTAAGGACGCAAAGCACGGAAATGAGGTGAGTGAGAGCACACCTGCCTTGCAGATGCAGTAGCATCAGAGAGGTGGAACATCGTACCCTTGGTGCAGAAAGGAAAGTTCTCAGCGGGAGCCTCGCTGTGGGTCAGGACGTTGAAGGTGGTGGACTTGCTATCTCGAATAAACCACAGAGTCGCATGGCCAAGCCCGGTACACAAGGATCAACATGAGCCGAGGCAAGTGCGCGATAGTTGCTGGTATTGATATTGAATCCAGTCGAGATTCGGCTTCTGAGGGTTTTTTTTTTTTTTTTTTTTTTTTAATCAGGTCGGGGCAGGACGTACCCAACGTTGGGCAGGCCAACAATGCCAACCTTGAGATTGGTACCAAGGCGACCGAGGAGCATGGCGTTGTCCTCCTCGACGGCAGCAGTCTTCTTCGGGGCCATGATGAAGGGTGCACAAGGACGAACTCACACGTCAAAAGCTACCAGGCGAGAGCAAGCCAGGGCCAGATCAGCAAATGAGTCGGAAATGCATGCATTCAACAAGACCCAAAACAAAACAACGCCCTTGGCGTGCACGTCGACCCCTTCACCACCCTTTCAGGCACTTGCAACTCGAGCCGAACATCCCACCGCCATTCCCCGCCGCTGCCATTCCCACACACACACCACACACACAGAGCAAGCTCGCAAACGCAAAAGCCACGTGCAGCTCACACACACACACTCTCTCTCTCTCTCTCTCTCTCTCTCTCTTGAAAAAGAACCGAAGAAACACGAAATGAAACAGCCGAAAGAGATAACGACACCGGTGCTTAATGCCAAGTCAAATAAGCCATGGCACGAGATGATCATGGTCCGAGCCGATACTGCCAAGCCGCCACTGACCCCCACCACCACTGACCGGCGCTGCCGTTTGAACACAAGAAAAGCATTTAACACACACACTCTCTCTCTCTTGTTTTGCTCTCTCGCTCTTAACGCACACACACACCTGAAGGGGAAGAAAATAAGGACGAAGAAACAAAAGGAAGAACAAAAGACTAAGTCTTTCCTCTTTTCTCTCCCTTTCTCTCTCTCTCTCTCTGTGCCTGATAAAATTGACAAACATGACAAGATTGAGGCGAGGAGAACGAGTATCGAAAGCAGTGAGATTACGTTTTCACTATCCCTAGTGACAATGCGGAAATTGTCAGATTAATCATGCTCGGGGACAATCGGCGCCGGCGCTCCTACTCCTCCTTCTCCTCCTCCTCCTCGGCTGCCTCGACGTCGACTTCTGCCTCTGCTTCTGCTTCGTCCACCACCTCCTCCAAGTTCATTTCTGCCTCTGCCTCTGCCTCTGACGCCCTTCTATCGGCATCAGGTACCTCTTTCACCTCTGCCTTTTCCTCCACCAACACCAACGGCACGAAAACCACCACCACCACCACCACCACCACCAGCTCTTCTGGATCCTCCTCGATCACCAAAGGACCCATCTCCACCTTGGCCTCCTCTGACTCTCACACAACCTCCTCCTCTGGCTCCTATGCTTCTTCCTCAACCTCCTCCTTGACCTCCTCCTCAACCTCCTCCTCTGCATCTTCATCCTCCTCCTCCTCTTCAACCTCCTCCTTGACCTCCTCCTCAACCTCCTCCTCTGCATCTTCATCCTCCTCCTCCTCTTCAAACTCCTCTTCGACTTCCTCCTCTGCATCCTCTTCTGTCTCCGCCTCCCCAATTCCACCAGAGCCTGGGAGATCAATTCGAGCCCAACCATGATCAGGCTCGAGCTGTCAGAACTCAAGTTACGGGCTCGCGCAACTGGACAGATTTGCACCGAGCCCCATCGCATGCCCACCAGCCCAGATACTCCAGCTCCATCCATCCACTTTGGGCCAGACCGACCCAGCATCAGCTTCGAGCTATCGGCCGGTCTGTCCAGTTTTGTAAACTGTTTCCTACTGGGGCCAAACCCAGTTCTAGCTCACACGCTTTGCCTGGTCCGATATGTTAGAGGGGGCGTGGCCCATCCAACTTCATTTTCTTGGCCACGATGGCTATGAGTGTGGATCACTCCTGCTCTCAGAAACCCTGCTGACAAAGTCAAAGGTTGGTTCCTCACACAACAGACCCTGCCCTCTCAAGCGATGGCTTTCCTTACCCTTACCTCACCCTTGTCCCCATGGCTGGCACGTCCTGCCTATACACGGTGTTGTGCAACTCAGGCAGAGGAGCACTGTATTACCAAACGTGCCACCGCTTCATCGCGCGACATCACGACTGGAAACGTGCATGTGCTGGCTAGTCGTCCACAACCTGCCACCATAGCCGTTGCTGATGTTGCCACCCCGGCACCCACCCCCTTGCCGCCAGCAGCTCCTCCTATCCCAAGACCCGTCGCGCAATCCATCGCGTCATCCGCACAGGATCAATCTCGGACATCAACAAGCCCCGAAAATGACTCTCCCACTGTTGCTGTACTCTTGTTGCACGATCTCACCCTTCCCAAACCATTACCCGTCAGTACTCGTGCAGCGCCAGCCTCCTTCATGTGCCCACTCGTTGGCTTCCTTGACATGGACTTGTTTGTCTTCTCTCATCTTCATTTTTATTGACAGAATGGAGCCACCCTCTTGCTGCACTGTGGGGAAAACACCCGCTTCCTCCTAGACCCTTTTCGCCTGTCAAATCAACCCGACCACACCTATGGCCTTTCCCCGCACATCATTGTTCTCGAACGACCAGCGAGAGTCCCTTCGGTCGTACATGCCCAACTTCAAGATGTTGCCCAACAGACCATAATCTCACAGTGGAGCTTTGATCTAGCCCCGGGTATTCCCAAGCGTGCCGTGGAAGTCCCTGTCCCCCCGACTGGCCAGCTCCGGCTCGTCGTTTGCAACATAGTACGCCATGACCCAACTCATGCCTCAAGAACCCCATGTGCCTTGCTGCCCACTCGACTCTTGCTCATGGCACAAACGCATCCAGCCCAGAACCTGCTTTGTCTCGCCCGGGGTGGTCAACATTATTCAATTTCAGCCGGCTAAAGCAACACCATGGCTTCATTTAACAGCGCAGGTATGGCGCTTTTGCACCAGTCCCTCGACACCACCCACTTGCTGCACGTCGCGTCGACCCGTTAGCCCAACCCACTCTTTGCTTGGATCGACCCCTTCTGCGCGGCTTAGGATAATGCTCCGGCAGAATTGCCACACAACAAACAACTCGAAGCTCATGAACATCTCTTGGCACCTGCTTGTACGACCTCTTTGGGCTGGTGCTCCAACACACACGACACACCTCTGCCTCCTTATCGGGTCCTTGAGGTCAGCCCGGGAAACCCACAGCGGCAACACGCGCGCATGGACGTGGGCATCAGCCCCACTGCTCTCTGGTTTGCACTTGGTTCCCCAGTCACCCCCGCGTATAGGGCTTGAATATGCTTTCCCATCAGGAAACACTGACCCACACAATGCGTGTTGCAGTCGCCTTCAGGTTGCTGAGCTGGGTCGCCTGGCTTCCCAGCCCACAACTCTTTCTGAATTACTGCGTCTGGCTGAACAGCAACAGGACTTGGAACTGCAAAATGACTCGGAACAGGTCAGTTTCTAAAGCCAGAACATGCCTTCTCTGCTTTGCTCTGTCATCACCCTGACAGCATGTCTTTTGTGCTGCCTCGATGTAAGCTCGACGTTGACATGGAGACGATGCCAGATGACAAGCTGGATGATTTGGTTGCCCGCGTGCAACAGCAAGCCAAGGTAGGTCATTGCCTGACTTGGACCATGTTCTTGGCTGAGCTTTGCCGCCTCTCTCTCTCTCTCTCTCTCTCTCTCTCTCCCTCTTGTTCTTACCACGGGCTTTCTCTCATTCCTTTAAAACTCCAACTACTCTTGGATATCCTGAATGGCGTTGCTTTTAGAAACTGGATGAATTTCGACAGCACAACCTCAGCCTCCGCGAACGCGTTCACAAAGCCAACAAACAGCACCAAGACAGGCTTGCTGCCCTCGATGTTCGCTCGTTCATCCCAACGTGTTGCTGTCGCCGGTCTTTGGCATGTCGCGCCTGTTGCGGAATGCTCAAAGGCCTCTCGCTCCACCTGCCTGTCTTCACGCCAATAGGTTCACTTTTCTGCTGCAGACTTTGTCGGACTCTCACAACAGGAACTGGCCTCAGCCTACATTAAGCTGAGTGACAGCTACAAGGCTGTCATGGGAGATCAAGAGCAACTCACAATGCGCCTTCAAAACCTTCAGGTACTCCAAGCACCGTGCCGTGTGGCATGCCCCTACTGCGATGCATGCCCGTGCCTTAAATATTGTGCCTGCTGACAAAGATGCCTGTTCTCTACAGAACGATGTCATTCAGTTCCAGAGCATCCAGCGCCAAATTCTCGAAATGGAGCACCGCCACTCCCGAGCTTTGAGTGAAACCCAAGTCTTCCAGACGCGCCTCGAACGCATTGGCAAATACAAGGAGACATTCAAGACCCAGCTGAAGGTTTGCACCCCCTCGAGCCACAGGCCTGCTTTACGCCGTGCAACAGCCTCACAGCCACGATGGTGCGGTCACCTTGCGCCAGGTGATTGAAGCACTAGAACAAGCCATCGATAAGGAAGCACCCAAGTTTCTAGACCCAACCACAGTAACAAGTGGATCGCGGTATCAACGGCTGCTGGCCAAGCAACTCATGTTGGAGCGACAGCGACTGACGCAGCGCCGACAGCAGCAACAAGCCAACGCCCAAAGACAAAAGGTGGCCGACAGTCAATCATCAACCGCCACAGCCCCTGTAGACCCACAAGCGATACAGCGACTGGACAAGCAAATTCATGAATTGGAGACGCAGAACCAGCAACTACGCAACCAACTTTATGAATTGCACAATGTATGCCACAGCTGGCGCAGGTCCCGAAGTAGTGCCCTCTATTTCCCATCGCATGTACTCATCCGTCTGCATGTTTAATTTTTGTCGTGACTGAAAAGGCACAAAGCCATTTGCCGGACAGTACCATGGACATGTCCACCCTTGTGGAGCGACGGAATGGACTCGAGTCGGAGATTGAGCGTCTCAAACAGGTGTGACCGAGTCCGCTTTTCTAATTGGCGCGTGTGTCGCTCGTGGACTCATCTGTCGCATTATCACCTGTGCACAGGCCCATCGACAAAAAGTGTCTGCTCTCCAAGTGCAACTAGCCTCCTTGATGACCACAGTCTCAACAGCCTGAGCGAGCGGGGCCAATGGGGCAGCCGTGCAAACAAGGGTTTCAAGTCAAGCCTCACCAAAGTCATGCTATGTTTCATATGAACATCTACGTTAAATTTTATTAATTTACTTTTATGACCTGAGGATGATAATGTATCGTTGGGCACTACGGCATGTGTTCATGGCGGCCAGTTTGGAATTGTGAGAAGGCGCACCTGTGTTGAGGAGTGTTGCAAGGGGATAAGAGCCGCCTGTCGAAACGAAAGGGATCTGGAGCGCGGGATCAAAATTCATTGATGGATCGAATGGACAAAGTCAAATTATGTCATAAGATCGACAATCTGCTGCGCGGATCCATGCAGATCAAAACTGTGCCCTGAGCCAATTGCTCAAGTCTTTGTGAATCGACACTCGGATCATAGAGGAGGGGATGAGCCATCTCCAAGGCTTCTTGACGTGCAGCACGTTAACGAGGACAGCACCTCGGCCATTGACGTCATCACGACGCATTGAATTTTTTTTAACTTTTTTGAGCAAGGATGGCAAGTACAAAAGGCTTGTTCACTAACGAACTGTGCCAGTTTTCACGCTATCAGAAGCGGACTCGAAGATGGCGAGGCACAACCAAGTCGGTTTCGTTGAATGTGACGGTGTGTCGCCAGAGCGCCTGGAGCTCTACGAACGTTTTTTGAAGTATCGAAGCGAGATGTTTTCCCGTTCTTCCAGCAAGCCCACCCTGGTCTGTATCGTCCGAGATGAGGCGCTGGACCAACACCGTGAAAACCAACGCATATATGTTTACGTTCCCCCCAATGCCGATCCTCTTGGCTTCTTGATCAAGGCCAATCTTCCTTTGGCAAGTGGTGACGATGTGTACTGTCCGAACGATGGCTATCATTGTCTCCAGGAATTCATCTACTTTTCCCCCGAGTGCAAGAAGTATCTTCTTGGCAACGCAGTGCGGAAGCTCTACAAGTACAATTCTCTGAGTTGCAGTCCGCGTGACTTCGAAGATCATGTGCTAACAGGCAACCCCCCCGATCTGATGGTGTACTAGGCGGTTCAGTGATAAACGTGTTCTGTTCTGTACATCTGGTCTGAGCTTTTCAATTTGATTGCAATTTCAAAAAAAAAAAAGGCCGTTTGAAGTGGCACACTGGTGCAGAAGAAGCCTGCAAATGAGTGCGCATCGTGAGGATGGATCTTGAAACTCGTTCAGCGGCGAATGCTTGCCCACACAATGCTGCCGTTCATGTTCTGATCCTGATCTCACTTGAGGCTCGAAACCTTTCTCGGCATTCGAGGACACGGGCGTGTGGTGTTGGACGTGTTGAGTTGTAAGAAGAAGAAAATCATAGATGTTTTTAAATTTGTCTGTTGCCATCTCAAGGCACAAACACTCTTTTGAAAATGGCGGTGATGAAGGAACGCGCTCGGCAAACCACAGACGAGAACAAAAACTGATTGGGAAAGGAAAGTTGAAAACTAAACATCACAGGATATAACAATACAAACAAGTGGACCAGATTTCGTTTAGAAAATGGGAACAGTGGGGGTGTCGAGCGAGGCGGGTGTGAGGCGGATGGGGGTCGGTGTGTCCTATACGGTTTATTCTACAGAAAGCTCGACCTCCATGTGCAGAATCATGTTGGCCAGTCGAATCAGCTCCACAGCCCTCTCTGCACAAAAACAAAAAGGGAAGGCCGCCATGGAATGCGCGCGCGTGTGATGAGCAATGCAGCGAGAAAGAACGTCAAATATAAAACCCACTACCCCTCTGGTATAGGTACCAACCTCGAGTGACGGTCGTTGTGTCGTGACCGTTAATGCTAAAAATGCGCGAGCCGCTGCGCAAGGTGCCTTCCGTTGCTGCTGGGCCCCCCGCTGTTACGCTTCCAACGATCAAGTGACCAGGGGAACCCGAGGGTGCGCGAATGGTAAACCCGAATCCCTGTTGTCCACGTTCAATTGTTACGCCGCGACGCACGTTGCCCGTCTTCTTGCGCGCGCCTTCCACGTCCGATGCGGCGGGGCTCACAAGCCGGTTCTCATACTCGCCGCTCCCCCGAGATGGGGCTTGGGAAGCTTGCCGGCGCAAGCTGCCCAAAGGACGCGACTTGGATATGGTTGATTCGGTGCGACGTTGCTTGGAGCGCAAAGACCGGAAGCGGGCACCCCGCCGTGTATTCTGCAAAAACACAAAAAGGATACAGTGTGAGACAGAAGACCAAAACAAAAGGGAGATATGTACAATTATGGCTAAAGTGGGAAGGAAATAGCGCCAGCCAAGCAAACTTAAATCACAAACCTCGGCATCGACGGAGAAGGCTTGCTGGTGCAAGTCTGGATGGAGTCGGTAAATGGTCAAGCGAGTGCTCTCGGAAGTGCTGCACAACCGAAGAATCTCGGTCAGCTGGTTGTTCAAAACAAGCTCGCCGTTGACGGCCAAAAGCCGGTCACCCTCGTGAATGCCCAGATCCTCGTGCTGCACAAAATGCTGCGCCTCGCTCGAATGAGGGATGTACACAAGACGAAGGTTGTCAAGTGCGTGCGGTGGAACATCGATATGCAGCACTTCACCAATCAAGCGCAGGTCAAACCCAGCCATATGCGGCCCCTTTTTGGAGCGTTTCTTCAAGTTGACGCGGAGAATTGTAACACGCACGGCACTCCCTGCGGCCGCAAGCACATCCTTGGCCTCAACGTCAAGCTCCAAGAGGTTCTGACCATCGACGGCCACAATGCGATCGCCCGGCTGCACCAAGTCGCCGTGACGCTCCGCCACCTTGTTAAAGAAAAAGCCGTCGAGCTCACCCTTGCGTGTAAGCCCGCAACCAAGTTGGTTGTTTTGCTTGTGCAGAGTCACAGTGCGGACCACGCCCAGCTTGCTCACGTCCTGCACCAAAAAGTCCTTTTCCTCCATGGCATCGAGATTCACGCGCTGCAGTTGGCCCTCCAAGCGGCGGCTCAGGCGCTCGTAATTCTCAATGTCAGCACGTAAAGTCAGTTTCACAGCGTTGGGGTTGATCACCAGCAGCGCAAGCACATCCTCATTGGTGCACGACGCCACAGAACGACCGTTGACCGTGAGGACGCGATCACCCACATGAACAAACCCCGTTGCCTTGGCCGCGCCATCCTGTGTCAGAGCTGACACATACACCGCTTCCTCTCCATCGGTAGTCATCAAAAGGTCAATGCCAAACCCACGACCATTGTTGACAATGGTAATTTCGCGATCACCGGCGGACGCAATCAGCTGATAGTATGCCGCAGAGCGGCTCAAGCGCATGGGCACCTCAGGACCCGTGGTGGCACGCAATTTGGCCAGCACCTCAGGATGCGTCAGCCTTCGACAATCCTCGCCGCAAATGGCAAGAATCTGCATGCCAGGTTCGACGCCACGTTGCCGCGCCTCGTCCGTCTTCACCTCGGAAATGAAGACGCCGTCCCTTTGACCGGCAATGACCAAGCCAAGCTTGCCACCAACGCGTGGCACCTTGACATCAAACCCTGCTTCGGCGCTGGCATCTCCGCTCTGGCTACCTCGAGGCGTGTTGGTGGTGCGTGTTCCCAAGGGCGTGCTACGGTGTGAAGACTCCTCGCGGACTGAGAGATTGCTGGCCTCACGCTGCGCATATGCTTGGTAGCCCTCGGGATCAAAGGCTACTGTCATGCGTGCGTAGTCAACAACACGCCGCAGGATGGCCAGCACCTCAGTCTGGGATGCATTCTCTGTCAGTTGATCATTGATGGCATAGATTCGCATGCCTGGCTCCAAACCCGCCTCCTTGGCCGAGTCAGCCGTGACCTCGCTCACGTACACACCCTGGCCTTGCGTACCCATATGTCCCAAAACCTTGAAGCCCAGACGACCGCCTTGGCGTGGAACCATGATTGTCTTGCGGTTGGTTGTGATGTAGTCAGGCTGCACCACGATGGGTTCGATGGCACGATCGGCATCAGCTGCATCGCTCGTCCGATCGCCGTCGTTTTGCCTATTGGGCTGCTCTGAAAGTTCTTCGCGCTCCTCGTGTGTGGGCAGGGGTGACATGGGGCTCGGTCCGTCAGCGCGAGAAGTCCGACGCGAAGCAAACACCGAGTCACCATGCATGCTCTGGCGGGCCGAGCGCCAAGCCCCATCCGTAGGCTGCAGGGTCAGACTCACATGGTCCGGAAACTGTCGCACCAAGGAGATTGCTGTAGATTCCAGCGCAGATTCTACTGATTGGCCATTGATGCGCAGCACGCGGTCACCCTCGCGTAGCTGCTCGCTCTTGCTAGCAAGGCCCCCGGGTTCGATGTCATCAATGTAGACGGGACCGGGCTCCTTGGCGTCCGACACCAACACCAGGCCATATGACTCGTTGGGCTTGCGCTCGAGACGAACGTGCTTGGTGCTGATGGCGGCTGGCGACGGCGTGGACCGCGCCTGTTCGAACGCAATCGGGGCGGCCGAGATGCTGGAGGGTTTGCTGGCGTTGGCGCTCGGGCCTTGCGACTCTGCTTGCGCTTGGATGGCATGCCAGCCCTCGAGGTCATAGTAACCTGACAACCGGACATATTTGTCGGTAATGGCGCGGAGCCTTTCGGTCATTTCAACCTGTGTGTCATTCGACACGTCCACGCCATCTATCTTCGTAACGCGGAAGCCCTCATGTAGGCCCTCACGCAGCGCTCGTTGGTTGCCGATTTGATTGATGAAGACGCCACAGCCGTGGATGTCGCGAGAGCCTGTAAGGAAGATGCGAAATCGCCCATCCTCGCGATGCACGCGAAATGTTTGCTCTTGCTCGCCGTCGACCACGGATTCACCGGCCTCGGGCAACATCACACTGGGTGCCTCCGCTCTGGCCGACGCACTCGCCCTATGATTTGTGGCGGTCGAGGTAGTCTGCGACAGCTTGCGATTATATGCATGACGGGCATCCTGCCACGCGCCTGGAACAGAGTACAACTCGAGATCCACAGAGTTGGGGCGTTGTCCAATAAGCTGCAGCGCCTCGTGTTCACGCACCGAGACAGTGGGCACTCCGTTGATGGAGACAACGGCGTCACCGGTCGCAATTTGCCCGGAGCGATCGGCAGCACCCCCTGCTTGTACAGCGGCTATATGCACTGCGCTTGGGTTGGTCTGGTCCGCCAGTAGCTTTAAGCCGTAACTGCCGTCTACGCGCTCGAGGTGCACGATCCGGTGTTCGGTCAAGTATGCCGGGGCTTGAGCCTCTTTCTTCAGGTCTTCGAGGCTTTCCTTGGCCGCACGGTAGCCAGCCTCATCATACTGCACCTGCAGTTCCACTTGTTCTTGATTTGCTTTGATTAACTCCAAAGCCATGCTCTGGGTCGCAGCTTCCACAGACACGCCATTGATGCGTAAAAGACGGTCTCCAGATTTCAAATCGCTCTGGCGCACGATTGCGCCGCGTGGTAGAACCGTGTCAATGTAAACAGGTCCCGATACTTCCTCATCGGCCAAGAAGCGCAGTCCAAAGGGCTCATTTGCTTGTTTGCGAATGAGATATGTGCGAACTGAGCCTGACTGCTTGCCCTCACTGGCCTGCTCGGTTGCAGAGGGCCGCGAGTCCCGCCGGGACTGCTGTCGGAAGCTAACACGCTTCGCCTGCCAGCCCCGGGTGTCGTGTTGCACACGCAGCTCCACCTGCGTTGGCAACTCTTGAATAAACTGCAATGCTTTTTCTGCGCAGACAAGCCAGAGCCAAAAGGGGACCCCGACAGAGCGGCCATAACTCGTGATCAGGTACCAAGAGCACACATCGGAAAGAAAGCACAAGAATACACATCACAAACCAACATGTTGTGTGCATATTCACCATGTTTTTTCCGTTTTTTTTTGTTTTGGAGACACATACGAACCTTGGGGGCAAATATGGGTGTCATGATCGTTGACACCCACCAGGCGATCACCTTGCTGAAGTTGGCCGCTTTGCGCAGCAACGCCACCGGGCAACAGCTCGGCAATGTAAATCGATCCGGCTTCATCCTCTCCCAAAAGTTGCAGGCCGTATGATTGGTTGGGCGCACGATAGAGATGGACAGTGCGGACGTCATCGCCGCGAGCAGATGCAGTCGAGGCGGTTTTTGTAACAGCGCCGACAGCATGAGGACGCTCTGCCTGGACAGCTGCATAGCCCTCTGGGTCTTGTACAACCGTCAATGTGATGGGGTCACCAGCGCGGTCAAGGCGAGCTTTAACATCTTGTTGCGTGTTGTGTGCGACGTCCTCGCCATTGATTTGCAGAATGTGCTGGCCTGCTTCCAGACCAGCACGGATGGCTGCAGGGTTGTGCACTGAGGCAATGTACACACCCCTTTCAGGGGTGTGCTCGTCTGCGATCAGGGTCACGCCCACAAACGAGCCGTCGCGGGGGAAGGTAACGTCATGCACGCCCCTGGCAACATTCTGGTCCTCGGCGTGTTGCACAATGGTGTCATACTGTTCGGGGCCAATGCGTTGAAAGACCAAAGACGGCGGTTCCAGGCGGTTACGTTGCGCAAAAAGAGACTGAATGTCGTCGTTGCGCGCGGAGTCAACATAGTGTCCATTGACTTGCAGCACTCGATCGCCGACTTGAACGGTCTCTTCCAGGGGGGATAGGAGGCTGACTTGCGCAATAAACAATGCACCAAAGGCCGTGTTCCGTCCTCCTTTGATGTTGAGTCCGAGTTGTTCTGTGTTCCCCTTGAGCTGCACGCAGTACAGGTCGCCTGTGGTTGTGATTTCTTGATTTCCTTGGCGTAGTGGTAGATCAGCGCGGCGCAGGCGTCGGTTAGCACAGGGTTCGATGCGCCTCAGCAGTGGGCGAAGCGCCTCACTGCAGGCCGGGTTTGGGCGCTGTACACAAACGACGTGTTGTGGCTGGGATACGTCCAACTTCTGCAGCACAGTGTTCCATGCTGCTAGGGTGCCATCCAGCAAACCATGCTCGTCCACGGCCAGCACACGATCGAGCGCCTGCAGGCCACTACCGGCAGCTGCGACAAACAACGCTCCGGCATCTGTGTCGATCCCGCCCACAAGGCTGACGCGGCCGAGCTCGGCTGCGGTGCAGGGGATCTGTAGCAATGGGCCATCCGTTGGGGGAAGCTGCGAGGATGACGTGATGATATCAAGAGCTGCCGAAGTTGGAGCATCGTTTTCCGGTCGACCACGGCGCATGCTGGTCTGAGTGCCTTCGGCCATGGTAACCGAGGTGCTGGCCTCTTGCTGTGTAGCCTCGTTGAAGAGGGTACGCATTTGCAGCACCCCAACACGTTGGACAACAATGTTCAGGGTCCCACGGGCGTTCCTCAGGAGGTGATTGACGCGCTCGTGGCTGACATGGAGCACACTGTGCCCATCAATTTCCAAGATGCGGTCCCCCTTGCGCACATGTGAGGCGAGCTTGGAGTTGGCGGCCACGTCAAGGATAAAGGCGCATGGAAAGGCATATCCTTCACCGCCACCCAAGCGCAGGCCTAAAGGCTGGTTGGGAACCAGGCGGCACCGGCGCGCCAAAACGTGACCCTTGGCCACCGCGTTATTGGTGGGACCCAAGGGAAATTCAAGCTGATGATAGGGCTCCAAAAAGTTGTTCTCCAATCGTTCCATCAGTCGTAACAAGTCTTGGTCAGAGGCACGCAGAATGGTGAGCCGTGCGCCTCGAGCAGCGTTGTTGAGAAGTTCAAGTGCTTCGCGGTGAGGCCGATGCAGGAGGCCGTGATCGTCAATCGCTGCAATCAGGTCACCAGGCTGGAGACCTGCTCGCGCAGCAGGGCCATCTGCCTCAACGCTCTCGACGATGATTTGTTCGTAGTGAGTGTCAGATCCACCCAGCACGGACAGGCCCATGGAGCCACTGACCACGGCAACCAGGTTGACGTTGACCCACGCACAGGGCAGCACATCCAGCTGTGTTTGAATGAATACAAAATAGAACAAACATAAAATCAATGTTCCCACCCCAGCAACAACAACAACACCAACAACAATACGAAGGAGAAAAAAAACAAAAACGATATTAGCGTTATGATTCAATCAATACAGCAAGCAAAAGCACAAGTGGGTAAGCAGACACGACTGGCCGACAATGCACTGCACACACCGTTTGATGATCACTCAGTTTGGCCTGGTTGGTCGCAGCCTCCCAAGCCTTGTCATTGGCCTGGACAACAAGCTCGACAACCTCATCAAGATTGTCAGCAAGTGCGGTCAACATTCCTACACACAGGTTCGACATCAACACCGGGTGAGGGGCTCACGGGGAGCCAGTCTCGACCTCGAGATTGCAGGAACACAGCCGGCACTATCACGCATGATCATACTTTCGTTGCAAAGACGAACGTCTTTGCCGTTGAAGGCCACGAGCTGATCGCCGACACGCAGACGGCCATCTACACCGGCAGCACCGGTGGGCAAAATCTTCGAAATAAAGATTTCCTGAGCTTGCTCCCCATTCACCATAAAGTCCAGACCCAGCCCAAGGCGATCCACTTGGGCAAGCGTGATGCGGCGCAATCGGGATGCGGTGTCGTGCTCAGCAATGATCAGTTTCAGTTCGGCGGGGGCCGCGCGCACCAAAAGGTGTGCACGGTCTTGGCACCGTTGGGCCACTCGGATGACCTCGCGAGCGTCGGCACTTTCGAGATCAATGCCGTCAATGGCCAAAACGTGGTCGCCCACGCGCAAGCCGGCCTGGATGGCCAGGTTGCTCTCGAGGCGCACGATGTATGCCCCCTCCACTTCGACTGATGAGCGGGACGGCTCCACGGCGGACAGGAGAGAGATGCCAAACTCGTTGGAGACGGGGTCACGAAGTAGCACGATTTCGCGCACGTCGTTCTCGTCATCATCGTTGATACGGGTGGTCTCGATCGCAGCTTCGCGAATGGGTGCCAATTGTGCGCTGGTCCCAGATCGTTCATAGAGGGACGGCGTGGTGGACTGAGGCACAGGCACAAGAGACGGTTCCAGCGGCAAGAGCAAGTTCTTTGCTCCGTGCACGTTGACATCAAAGTCCACGGCCGAGCATAACTGCTGCCACTGTGTTTGGCCCAAGCGCTGCACAACAACCTTGATCGGGGTCGGGGTCTCGAGCAAAAGGTGTTTGAGCTCATCCTGGTCCATGAGGAGAACGCTTTGACCGTCCACCTCTAAGATACGGTCACCCAGGCGCGCCGTGCAAGAAAATCCCCGGGCCGGTTCCTCGGAGCTCACAACCAGGGCTCCAAGTCGCGTGTCGGCCCCACCCACAAGGCGGCAGCGTTGATTTTCATCAACGGTGAGAGCCAACAGATCGCCTTCAGTGTGAAAAATAGCATCGGGCTCTGCATAAAGTGGGATGTCGAGGGGCAGCAAAACGGATCCGTTGGCCAATGCAATGCTTTTGTTGCCGGAGAGGCGCGCTTGATTACGAATTTGAGCACGCAGTGCTTCCCAGGCCTCAGGCTCGAGGGCTTGCACCACCAAGTCCACAACGGTACCCGCACTCTGCAGAGTTGCAATGGCGTGCTCGTAGGTGCTGTGGAGAAGGCCAATACCATTGACGCTGATGAGGCGATCACCTGCCTGGAGGAGACCGGCGCCGGCACCCTGAGGTAGGACGGCCTTGATGAAGATGCCACCAAGCAACGTGTCGGCGCCACCAGTCACAGTCAGCCCAAGACGCTGGCCATCTAGGCGGCGGCAGGTCACTTGTCGAAAACCACCCTCAGTCTTGGTAATACGTGGGGGATTGTGCACGGATGATCGAGCAGCCATGGCGGGGGTCGAGGTGTACACGTCTGAGCTCGTGTGGTTGGGCGTGCGCGAGTGCCGAGAAGTCTGAATGGGTGATGGCGCAGATTCATCGAGAGCCTATGATACGGCCGAGAGAGGATGTGTGGGGTTGGCACCATAATTATGAAAACGGGGAACATGCCTGTGTGCGTGTGCGATGTACCGGACGCAGGGTAACTGCGGTCATGGTGGTCATGTTGTTACGCACCGTGATGGAGAGGCGAGGCGCGGGTGCGGCAGTGCGGGACGACGCGCGCTCACGGCTCGGTACGCGAATTTCATCATTCGCATTGTAATTAGAGACGATTGATGAAGAGCGCGCCTCCGTTTCTTTTGAAGGAACCGCACCCGGCAGGGTCGATGGAGTCTGTTCAGGCAGATTGCCGAGTCTGGGCTGCGAGAGCTGGCGTGCTTCCTGGGCAAGCCGATCCAGGCGCATGGTGGAGCGGCGGCGAAGCTCATCCACCTGACTCACGGTACTACAGCCAACACGTTCAGTACGCTGCTGGATGGACTTGAGCTCATGAGCAGAAGGCGGCACGCCTCGGCGCACATGCAGGTCAGCCTTGAGTCGCTTGGCAACAAGGCGGACCACTGTATGGTGACTGAGATGATCGGTTGCGATTCGATTAACGGAGATGATTTCATCACCAGCATTGAGCTTGCCCTCAGCCGGGCTATTGGCAGCCGTGGCCAAAATGACATGGCGGCCCGAACCTGCACCAAAGAGGAAAGGAAGGACCATAAGATCAGAGCGCATGCATGGATGTGTGTGTGCGTGTGTGCGCGAGCGAAAAACAGAAGAGTAAGGCCCTGCTCTTGCGGGGGGGAAAAAAAAAAGCACAGCTGGCCATCTGCACAACCCGGAGACGTACTCGTGCGCCCAAGGTCAAAGCCAAAGGAAGCGGTGTTGTCCTCGCGAACCAGGCTCACTCGAACCAGTCCTTCGCTGCTTGCCGAGGCATTGTGACCGTTTGCGGTGCCACCGTTTGCCAGTCCATTGACACCTCCATTCTCAGCTCCCGTGCCAACCTCATGAGCAGCAGCAGCACCATCCCCACCACTACCATCCCGACCAACTCGCTGCCGACGAACCACAGAGCCACTGGCACTGGACTCTGTCTCCGCCGCCATGGTCGCCGCCGTTGCCGCTGCGATCGCTTCGCTCCGCAGCACCATCTTCAAGCGGTGACGACTACCATGAAAGTGTACTTTAGCTCACACTCTGCGGGACCAGAAATAACGCTCCGTCTTTTTTTTTTCTCTTTTTTTCTGCTTTTTTTCTGTTTTTTTGCTTTTTTTGGCTTTTTCCGTCTTTTTCCCGCTACTTTGAGTCTCCGGTCTTTGGTCTCTTGGGTGGTCTTTGGATTTCGGCCTGCGGTCTCCGGTCTTCGTCTCGGTATTCGATCTTTTGGTCTCTTGGGTCTTCGGACTGCGGTCTTGGGTGTTCGGTCTTGAGTGTTCAGTCTTCTGTCGTGAGTGTTCGGTGTATTCCGTCTTAACTGCTGTGTCTTCTTCTGCCGGACGCCTTCTGCCTTCATATCTTTGCCTGTCATCTTCTGCCTTCCATCGTTGGTCTGTGTGTCGTGCGTGATTGTATTGTTGGATGTATTCTTAGCATGGCCGGTTACAACTACCTGACAGCTAACTCAAAGTGTGTCAAGAAGGTGCTCTAATGGAGCTTTCGATTTAGGGTTACAGCACCGCGAGTTAGGCCGCGCCATAGGTACCCGACGAAGAGGACATGAACCATGGTCTGTGTCTCTCTCTTGTCTTCTCTCTTCAACCAATTCCTCTCATGTCTTCCGACCGACTCTCGGCCTCTGTCCTGCTGTCAGCACGAACAACCCCTCTGTTAAACGTCCTTCGCTCGCTCTGTTCCTTTTTGTCTTTGATGGGATTCAGATTGATTGTCGCATGGGCAAATGAGAGCCGTTGGCGTTAGCAAGGCTTCAAAAACGCATAGCGTTGCACACGAGCACACACTTGGAAACAAGCAAAGGCGAGAGGCGAAACAAAGCAAAATCGACGAGCAGTGCGCTACTCAAACTTCAGACAGGAAGCAAAACAGAAGGAATCAGGCACAGACTCGGAAGAAGAGAGCCCACGGCGGAAAAAAAAGGTGCAACGTTGGCTGTGACTGCAAAATGTTCTTCTCTGTGTAGCCTTTGACTCCAAATGGAGAAGATAAAGCTACGCTTCTTACTGTTTTGCACGAGCCGACCATTACACAAATTCGGGCTCCATCAGCTCCTGCTCCGAACGGGCATCCGATTGCGAGTCTACAAAAACGAAGCAGCACACAGCACACACAGAACAATGAGTTGATGAAGATAGGTCACTCAAGCGCTTTTCACGTCACACATCCCCGTCCTCTTCCTAAACAAATGTTGTCGTGGACAACCACGACTTGACAGAAACGTACAGGAGCCGACCAGCGGTTGTCCTTGGTTGGCTACAATGGTGCATAAGTGGCCACAGCAGCACACGTGAGGAAAGCGCGCAAAAAGCTGGTCAAAGCACATTGGGAGAAACCGCAGACGCACTGATGCTAGAGTTGTCACGTTGCTGCCAATACTTGGCCACCTCACGCTGGTTGGCGCCAGCTGCTGCGGCGTGAGCCCCGCCGGTGCGTCTCACCACTCTGCATGCACACCACCACCAATACAGGGTCAGGCCAATGAGCGCGGAAGAATGGTGCCCCCGTACTGGTCGGGCGAGGTCTGTGGTGGAAACGACGTACGCTGCCTGGGGTGCGCGACGTGCACCACGCTGCACGGGAGCGGGACGAGCCCTGCACAAAGAGATGCGAACATAACCAAAAAAAAAAAATGAGAAATCAAGAAATGCCAGCGACCACCAGTGCAGAGAAGGCTGGCCTACAAGAACGTACGACGCGGTAGCAGTGCGTTGGGCCGCCTCCAGACGCTTTTCAAAGTCCGCTTGTGTCTTGAGGTTGTGCTCTTCCAACGCTTTGATACGCTCCTTGCGCTTCTCACTCTGAGCCTTGAGCATCTTCACCTCTTGACCCCGTTGTTTGGATTCCTGGCGAACATCATGCAACTCTTGTTTGGCCTTTTCGAGGCGCTCCTGCAAGGCGTTCACACGGGCATCCGAAGCATTGGACAGCAGTAGCTCGTTGCCCCGCTTTTGCTTCAAGGCATCAATGTGCGAGGTAAGCTTGCTGCGCAGCGATGCCGCCGTGGTCTCACGGAACTTTTGCACGGCACCCATGGTCTGCTGCAAGGCCTTGGCCAAGGCACTGCTTTGGCGTGCTTTCTCCTCAGACTCGTTGGAGCGGCGCGAAAGTTCGGCAACCTGACGCTCCTTCTCCGCCACCGCCACCTTTTGCGACTCGAGGCTGGCCTTGACGCCCTCGAGCTCGACACTCACGTCGTTGAGCTCACGCTGAACTCCCTCCAGCTTGGCGTCGCGATCCTTGAGCTGGTCCCGCAGAGATGAGACCTCACCGCGGTGCTCCTCGGCCTGTTTTTCACGCTGCTCGTCAAGAGCTCGGCGCATCTCCTCATTGCCTTGCTCCTCAAACTGAGTCATGAGCGAGGTCATCTTCGATTGGCTCTCGCGATACTTGGCCTCAAGGTCATCGCGCTCCTTCTCCAGCGCCTCATGCTGCGAGGTCAGAGTCTTGACCTTGTCCTGCAACTGGCCATTGCTCGCCTTGAGCTTGGCCAGCTCCTCCGTCAGCTGTGCCTTGGCAGCTGAAGCCTCCTCGTCGTGCTGACTTGACAGCTAGGTATGAAACCCCAACAAACACGGGCGTGATTGGAACGCAGGCATGACGCAAGCGACCGTGAGGCCATACCGCGCCGAGGTCTAGGGCAGAGTTCACATGTCGAGCCCCTCAACAAACCTTTTGAAGTTCCTCAGTCTTGGCCTTGAGGTCCTTCATCTCGTTGCTCATGCTGATCAGTTGAGCGTCAATGGCGACAACACCCGTATCCGGCTGCTCCAGCGTACCCGCATTGGCCTGGCTCAGCGAATCTGTCACCTTGCTGGACAGGGTGTGATGTTGCTGCTGCAGCTGCTTCACCTTCTCCTCGACGTCGCCCTTTTCTTGCTAAACAATGAGAAACCCAGATCGGCAACCAGGTGGCGTGTCAACGTCAGCAAATGTGCAAACAAAGCCAGATGCGCAACAAGCTCCAAATAATACAAGGCGATAAACTAACCATGAGTTCGTCCAAGTTGGCTTGGAGCTGCAGGCTGTGCTCGGCCATTTCCTCCACAGCTGCCTCGAATTCGGCATTCTCGGCAAGCAGCTACAGCGAACAAGGAGAGATGAGTCACAATCACAGAGCGGCTTGGTCTGCCCCGAATGTCAATCACACGGAAGGAAAGAGGGGGAAAAAAAAAGAGCAGGAAAAAAAAAACCGATGACCAAAGCCATCCAGCGATAATGCCAGCCGACATGTTGCGCACACGCACACACCTCCTCCTCACGCGTTTCCATCTCCTGGAGCCGTTGCTCAAGATCGGCCTTCTCTGAAGCCAGGCGGGTGATGGTGACGCGGTCCTCGCTCAAGAGTTCAATCTCATTGTTGAGGTATTCAATGTCCTTATTCTTCTCGTCAATCTCATCAAGCAGCTCGGATTCACGGCGGAGTAGTTCCTCGCGTTCCTTTTCAAGCAAAAAGGCCAACTCCTCTGACACCGCTCCAGCAGCCGCGGGATCGGTGCTAGATTCACCGGCAGTCTCGTCGCCAAGAATCTTGCTTGTTGTGGCCTGACCCAGCTGCACACGATCAGCCTCTGATACAGTGCCACCGGATCGCCAAATCTCAAGCTCCTGCTCAGCTGCAGCCAGCTTTTTGGTAAGCTTTGCAATCTCCTTCTTCGCTTGCTCCAACTGTCATCGGGCCAGCAGAGAAAGCAGCCGCACATGAGTGTCACAAGACCGACATGCGACCGAGAAGGATGCGGTTTGATTCTGACGACACACCTGGCGTTCAAGCTCTTCGGCGCTGTACTTGACGTTCACAACGGCCTTGTTCTTGATTTTCTTGGCACGCAGACCGAAGCGCAGCGTAGAGATGGTTTCTAAAACAAACACGTGGCAAGTAAGACCGACAGTCAGGGCAGGGCAGCTGCAGCGATTTGAACAGGATAAGCAGTGAGCAAACCTTGCTCATTATAAGAGGAAGGGCTGCAGCAAATGATCATGGTCGTGCGGGCATTGCCACCCAGAGACTCCTGGACAAGTGCACAGGAGCAAGTGGATAAATGAGGGGAGGGCGGGGAATAAGATCATGCGTACAGTGGACATCATCAGCTCAGCAATTCCAAAGGCATGACCAGGGTCGAAAGCCAAAATTGTACCTGCAGAATGCGCGTGAGCTTTGAGTCACGGTAAGGAACGTGTTGGCGGTTTCCACCCTCGGTTAGGGACATGATGACGAGACCCAGCGCCGAAAGGGACTTGTTGATGTTTTTGGCTTCATCCAGCACGGTACCGTCCGCGCCTGTCTTGGAAACCTTCTCACTACCGGCCAAATCGACCAAGAAGAGCTTGCCTGTCTTCAGTCCACCCTTGATTGTATCCTTTTGTGTAATTTCCATGAGGAAAACCGAGTGGCTGCGAGACGAGTGGTCGTTCATGTCTACGAGCAATGTCGAAAAAAAAAAAAAAAAATAGGAATGATGAGTCTGCACGCACGGGTTGGAGCTCTAGATGGGCGACGAGTGAGACACTGCTCCCGAAGCAAGAAAACGCACTTGTCGCAGCGACAGAACGGCGCTCGGCGCCAGAGCGCATGACGGCCATGACGTCCTCTGGATCCTGATGAGAGCAAGGATCAACCAGGCAGTCGGTGAAAAAAAAGGTTTGTAGTTCGCAATGGAGATGAAACTGAAATAGCATATAAGCTCAAGGCGTGGGAGAAGGAATGGCAACAGCTAACCTGCATGTAAAGTTCTGTAGCATGACGGACGTAGACACCTCGCTCACGGTTCTCGTGAATCTGCAGATTGACGTTGCCGTCTGGAAGGCCAAGTCATCATCAGGATGGCCAGACCCAGGAGCCGAGAAGCATGCATGTGAGCGAGAAACCCGAGCGCGGTAAGACATGAGTGCGGTGTCAGGTACAAGGTGCAAAAGCAAGCCAGATGAGGCCTGCAAGCGAACCGGTAAGGAGATCCCGAATGCGTTCCATGTAGATTTCAAAGTAGGAGACACGGACGGTAAACTCGAGGGTTTCCGGAGCCAAATCAATGTAGGAGAAAATGTTGTACACAATACGCGGGATGATGCCTCGCTCCTCACTGTCGACGTTTGGGCCCTAAGCATCAATTTGAAATGGTTTTACACAAGGTGGCAGAGTGAGCGAGCGTTCAAAGGCTGTTGGGGTCGAGGCAAGTCGGCGTGCAGGAGCAGTTGAACATACTTCCATAGTGTGAGTTTTGCCGGAGGAAGTTTGGCCATAGGCAAAGATGGTGCCGTTGTAGCCCTTGAGGACATCTGCGCCACAGCGGGGAGTAGATTTGTGATACAGTGATGAGGCTTTCAGGAGGAAAGGCACGAGAGCTTGAGGATGTGAGCACGCACCCTCCACAATGGGCTTGGCGGCATAGTCGTAGACCTCCTCCTGAGTGCAACCATCTGCGAAAATTTTGTCAAAAGAAAAGGTCGCTTTGCGTTGGCCCTGAAGCAGGCGGGAACACGTACGCAGATACACACAAGGTCAGAACTGAAGCGGAAGGAGGTGGGGGGGGGACTGGTGACGTGCACCGTTTGTCTTTGTTGGGTGCATGGCCGACCATCTTTGCAAACTTACATTAATTTGACACGCGGTACCGCCCGCATCGACTCGGACAATCGAGTTGCCACCCTTGGAGAGCTCGTTGGCGAGTTGTGGCCGAAAGCGGCACACAACTTTGACGTTGCCCGAGGACGCCATGGCGAGTGTTTACGCTAGCAGAGAGGCCGCGAGCGAGCACCGACGAGTCGGGAGGAAAAGAGCAATACGGGGACCCCCAGCTCGGCGCTGCGTCTCGCGGCGTCGATGACAAGGGATGAATAGTCAAGGCACGAGGACGCCGTTGATCTGTCGTCCCTGCGCCACGGGCCGTCTCTACAAAAGCCCAAAGAAGGAGGCAAGGAACACGCACAAGAAGCATGGCAAGATGAGGCCAGGTTGCCTGATCCAGCGAGCAGATGACCAGACCAAGAACCATCAAAGGCTAGTGAAGAGGTGAAACGTAAAGGACGACACTCATAAGAGCGCGAGACGCCGCCCTTTTGAAAAGCCCCTCTGAGGTAGATCACCACCCCGCCATGCACTTGCTGCTGGTCAGTCAGTGCAACGGCAGCCTGACGTCCCGAACAGGAAGCAAGGCCATAAACGCCCCTCACCCCACCAACCCAACTCAAATGCACCCTGGTCGACGATGGTCAAATGCAGTCACCAAACATCGTCATTGGGGGCAAGGACTGCACCCCAACATGCCCAGCAGCGCTCAAGAGTCATCGAGTCAGTGAGCTACTTACGCCGTCGTCGCGTTCTAAAAAAAAAAAAAAAAAAAATCGAGAGAGAAGGAAAGAAGAGACGAGTGGTGTTGGTGGTTCAACCTTAGAGATGTGCAGCACGAGCGGGTATGATTTTCTCAAAAGTCCATTTGATATCAAAGGCCGTGTAGAGAGACGAACTGCAGTTGAACTGGAATGAGAGGAAGCTGATTAAAGGAAAACAAAAGAATCCATTGAATAGGGAGTCACACCCTGACACACAAACACAACAGCAAACAATGGAAATCCCTCACACACGAACACAGCACTTTTTGGATCATCACGTTGGTTTGCACATTGGGCCCAGCGGCGCTGACTCAGAAAGCCACTGCACTGACCAGTGGCCTCCCACCCACTCTCTCACAGCAGCTGGCAGCTAGCCGGCTGCCCCGCGTCCTCGATCTGAGCAGCGATCTGCTCTGGCTGCCCTTTTTCCGCCACTTTTCCTTGAATCCTGACCATTGCCACCTCAACGACATTTGGTTGCCGCTGCTATTTGGCTTGCAAGCCATTCAAAGTTCACACTTTAGTGATTGTTTCATTCATAACTCACATGTCAGACGCGTTTTCGATCCAAGCCAACATCCTGCCCGTGACCGTGACCAAGTCGCAGCGGGACATGAGGTGCTCTTTTCTCCACCACACTACTCGGGCCGTGGCCGATCGAGCTGATCTGGACTCAGGTGAAAGGCCGGGTAGGCCGGGCGTACCACACAAAGCAAGCCCTTATGCAGGTCAAGGCGACGTTACAGGCGTCATTCCGGGACCTGAGCAATGACGACGTGGCTGCCTGCATTGACCACTCGTGGAAAAAGCTCGAGAAGCTCAACCACCTGCTCCAGCGCATCGCTGACGCCGAGGGTGCCGAAAGTGACAGTGACAGCGACAACGTGTCGGACAACGAGGTCGAGGAGGGTTTTCCACCTGGCCAAGCGGCGGGGCAGGCTGACGGCACCCAAGTGTCCGACGACGCGTCTGCAAGCGACGCAGGGGACGAGTAACATGCATGAGGGGGGCAGGAGCCGGGCAGTAGGCCCAGCTGGGGTGTAGCTTAGAAACTCATAACTTTGGCTGTGCTGCATATTTTTGATAACGGAGAAAACCGGCCAGCCCGTCGCGGCATGGCGAATCCGATCGAATTTCGCAGAGAACAGGGAGAATGGGAGGGGGGGGA